TAGTTTTTCCATATAACCTCCATTTGACTGTGTTATAAGTTGATTAAACCATAATCTATAATCGCTGGGTGCAAGAACCTGAGAATAAGATGGATGCGGAAGTAATTCTCATGGTGAATCGTTCAAAACATCCTTCGTTTTACTTGCAACTTTCCATGCCGTTTTTGGCCAATTGGCTATCGAATATTTTGGTGCTAGTTGTAGGACCTTTCGCCAGATAATTCATAAAAATAATCCCAGAATGCACTACCCATTATCTTTGCCATAAAGGGAATAGTGGATCTACGTATAGACAGTAGTATAGGGTGTTTTTTTTTTTCGATGTATAGAACTTTAAGTTGGGATTACTGTTCAGCTGTCAAGTGATTTATTCTGAGTTTGGTTTGGCAATTCATCATGAATTGACTCACGCCTGAACAACGCTTGTCCAATGGGCCCAAAACGAGATTGCCGTTGTTCCCGATTTTCATAAGCGAATTTTGTTTAGCGACGAAGCGCACTTCTGGTTGAATGGCTATGTCAATAAACAAAACTGCCGCATTTGGAGTGACGCTAATCCTCAAGTGTATGTCGAAACACCGTTACATCCAGAAAAACTGACTCTTTGGTGCGCTTTATGGGCTGGTTTAATCATTGGTCCGTACTTCTTCAAAAACGGTGATGGCCAGAACGTTACAGTCAATGGTTATCGGTATAGAGCTATGATTACTAACTCTTTCATTCCTGAATTGAATAACCATGATGTCCAGGAGATGTGGTTTCAACAAGACGGCGCAAAATGTCACACCGTCTAATTTCACGTTTTGGACCTGTGAACTGGCCTCCAAGATCTTGTGATTTAACACCACTAGACTACTTTCTGTGGGGCTATGTAAAGTCATTGGTCTATGCGGATAAGCCACAAACGCTTGACCATTTGGAAGACAACATTCGCCGTGTTATTGCCGATATACGGCCATAAATGTTGCAAAAAGTCATCGAAAATTGGACGTCCAGATTAGACATATTTAAAATGTAATGCCACGAGATTATCTTTCGGATAAATAAAATTCATGTCAATCGAATAATCCATGGCTGTTTTATTGCAATTTAAAGTTCTATACATCGAAAAAAAACACCCCTTACTTCTGAACTCCGCAGAATTAGGCAATACTCCTTTAAAGTCGCTGAATAGTTTCTGTATTTCTCATACCCTTTTTCTTTCTATGGAAACATGTCGGTACCAGTCGAACACCTAAATCAGATCAAACATGCTCATAATTTCTGCGTAATTTAAATATAGCACAATTCCCAGAACTGTGGGAACAACCCTCGTAAATATCAATGCATATTGCCATGCGCATGCGCGACATTTCTGCTCGCAAACCACGCCTACAAAAACTAGTAGTTTTAGTGCGTTTAATTTTTGCTTTTTCGCATGGCGTTGTCTCGATCGAAAATGGTGGGGAGGAGGGATTGTCCTTAATATAAATATAAGGAAGTAGTACTTCGAGAAAAATACATATATATTTTTTTGGCAGTTCTATTGATTGCTTTATTTATTACACATTTTTCTCATTAGTTCGTCCCTTCATTGTTCTTGATTCGTCGAGGTAAAACTTAATGATTAATCCAGAGTTTTATTAGCCTAATCTGTTAGCCTTATTACATTTTATAAAATTAAAAATTCCATGGAATGATTTACTAGGCGACTAGAAAAATCTTCAAATAAAATAAAAACTTTAAAATGTTCTTTGACTAGAGTGTCTTAGATTTTCGTGACAAAATCAAAAAATTGCATTATTATTGCGAATTTCGCTATCTACCTACTTTATTGGAAACTACGCAGTGTTCGGAAACTCTTACATTTCCCTTTCACACAAGCCCGAGCTTGGCGAAATCGGAAAAGTGATTCAGAAGATAATTCAATAATTTGGACAATTAAAGTCTATTTCAGAAAGCTGTGGAGTAATAAAACCTCTTCGGTACACAAGGAGATTACGGGGTGACAGAACTAATACTTAATCCAATTTCATTGTTTGACATTGACTTTCATCGGGTTTGCGTCAATTTTTATGGGTTTTGCCTACCACTATCTATTCACGCAGACTGAAAATGGTGTGCCGGAGGCGTCCTGGTGGGATACCCGTAAAAAGAAAAGAATTTTATTTTAACAAAAAAAAAGATTTCCTTTAGTAGTTTAGTTAGTAGTTTGAAGTAGTTTAGTAGCTTAAGGTCTTTCCTTTTGAATGTCGTGTTGTGTCTTGCTACATATTCTTTTACTTCATAACTTTTACAAAGATTTTTTTTCTGTTAGCGTGTTAGACAAAACTAAATTTGTATTAGTTTGCTACATATAATGATAATTATCTTCAAATTCAATATTTTCAGTGGTTAACCAGTTCATAATTTCTTGTTTCCTCCACGATGAAGTTGGAGTCTTCACTTGGCGTCGTGAATAATAACTTAGGTTATTCATAACTACTACTAAATCAGCCGGAAGCTATTTTATCATATCACCAAAATATTCTTCAAAAATGACAACCCTATACCAATCAAAATATGTGGGAAACTGACGCACTACAGCTGAAGAAAGAAAGAAATCTTTTTTGTTTTTAAATATAGTGCTGCCATCTAATGGATAAAAATATATATGACCCTGTTAAATTTTTATGTACAACTTCAATTTACTTCTTTCAACTTATTATTAAAATAGTGCATAAAGGATATGATCAGAAGAAATACAGCTAATGAAAAAATAAAACAATGGTTTTGTTTCTTTACTTCTTATATTTTATAAAATTTATATATTTGCTGTTTTCGCTGTACCCAACCGTTGAACAGTGAAATTTATATAAGAATATTACAGGTAAACAAATTTTATCATTTTTTTATAAGTTCGACATTCCTCTTCTGTGGGAAACAACAAAGCCATCCTGTTTAGTGATTATTTGCAACAATTATGTAAGGCTGATCAAGCTGACAAGACATCTACACTACTACTACTACTCTTGATATGGTAAACAATTGCTGTGTTACGAACTATAAGAAAGATTTGGATTTATTTTCTCATCCCCCCTTGCAAAAAAAATGGATTGCAGCAACGCAGTCGATTTACTTGCTCCAACACAAAAGACAAAGGCGAGTCTTACTGAAATATTTTTCGATAAGTATAGCGACCTACAACATGGTCTAGCATGTTTTCTAATCATATTCATTTCATAGTATGCGAGTTCCATTTTCAACAGTATAAAATTGAAGTAGAGTAGTACCAATATAACAAAGGAAAAATATTTTTAGAATATAAAAACATAAAAAATATTATATAAAACAATTACCCAATTTTAGGCAAAAAAGACCAACAAACAAAGAACCATATTGTATAATGGAATACAAACTTTTTTTAAATTTTTATCTATTATTCATATTATTCATAAAATTTTAGTATTCAGATAGATTATAAAAAACATTTGCTGACAGTAAATATTTTAAATATTTTTTGAACTTCTTTTGCTCTACGTCTTTAGCTTTAGTAAGAAGCATATTATAGTATGTTTACCTGGAATACGAATACCAATACCAGGCCTTGTTTGAAAGTAATCTTTATTTTTATGTATGTCAATTAATAGTTTAAGTAAATAAATACCTGTCAGAGTTAAAAAATTTTAGTTCTAAAAACATCTCTGCACGATTCTACTAGTTTTAAGTTGTACATTAGTCGAATTATCCTGTTTTGTTGGACAAAGATTCGGTCCGAGTCTACTGTTCTTCCCCAGCTTATAATATTGTAAGAAATTACTGAGTATTCTTCTGAGTAGTATAGATTTAAAAGAGAAGAGGTATTTAAGGAAGATTTCAATGTTCAGGCTATTTGATTAGACCACCTTAATTGGCAGTCAAGTTCTGTCCCTAGAAATGTTGTATGCCAATTTTTAGTTATATTATTTTGGTCCATTTGGGCACTTAACCCGTCTAAAGGACTTGTGAATTGAACTACTACAGTTTTTTGAGGACTTAATATAAGGTATACAGTAGGTCTGAAATCTTTGTACAGCTTTTTTAACTTCTATTGATTTCGTCACAAGATTTTTTCCGGGATTAAGATAGTCGTATCGCCACAAAAGTGATATTGTTTTACGCCATCCAGATATTATGCGAGATCAGCTATATATGCTTTAAATAATAAAGGGCCCAATACTCCCCCCCCCCCCCCCCTGTGGTGTTACATTTGACTCCATACATTGGTTTATGTTTCTCTAACTCCAAGAAGGTTTAGTTTTTTTTTTTTAAAGGCGGGGTTTAACATATCAAACGCTTGGGAGAGGTCAAGAAATTTCCAGCAACCACTTCCTGTTCATCAAGTTTATCATGAAGAGTTACAACCTGAACTGTTGAATCAACAGAAGTAGGTATAGGACTCTTTATTTTACCTGGTTGTCCGAGTTATTAAGCCCGAATGTAGTTACAGAGAAAGAAGGAAAGACTTTTTTAAAATTTATACATCACCTCTGTATTAAGTTCTACTATGTTTCTACTATCATTTAAAGATGGACATAATATGAAGGAAAGAAAACGTGTTTTTTATCCTTATTCACCCATATTTGATATTATAGACACCATGGCATTGTATGTGTTGCCCATTGTGACAGAATTCAAACCGCCACAAATGCCACCTCTCGGTAGGGCCAGGGGGGGGGGGGGGGGAGCAAAATAAAGTCTGATTATCTGGTTGCCTATAAACGTATTTACATAGGCAACTATTTAAGGTTCTCATATATTTCGGATGACATGTGAGTGACTACAAAGTCAAATTATTAATAATGTATTTAAAATGGAGATGAAAAATAATTTTATCGCACAAAATTTTGACATTTCTCGGTCATGCGGAATTTAAGTATAGGTATAAAGTTATGAAGTAGACGTTTGAAATTTAGAGCTCCCCTCCAGGTTACACGTATCGCAAACATTGTCAAAGCGACCAAGCCGTGCGTTAATGGTGTTAACAATGCCAACAAACTCACAGACTCCGACCGTGCATGAAGCGCCCTTGAAGTAGCGATCCGCGCGCAGAGCCTTGCCCTCCTGGTCCTCCACGACGATTCCCAAACCCAAATTTCGCGCTCCGGCCCTGTTCCACGCTTTGGTTGCCGGTTTGACGCTCAGCTCCACCCACCTCGCGGTTTCCGCGACGACTTTGCTGTCGGATAATCGGCGCTTCACTGTAACAAAATCGGCAAATTTGGAATTACGTTGTTTCGTCCTCAGTTTTCCAAATAATCGATTTTCCCCTTGTTTTTCATATTTTATTCAAAAAGAGGCTATTTAAAATATGATAATTGGCCGAAATAGGGTATTTCCGAATTAGATGCTCATCCTTAAAAATGTTTTAAAAGTTTATTCCAATGTAGATGATAAGCAATCGCATTATAGCCTTATCGGGGATATAATCCGTCCAAATTATTGTACCGAGGAAACCAAACTGCTGGTGCATAATTTAATTTTTCTACTCCCGTCTGTAAAATATCAAATTACACTCCGATCTGGCGTGCGGGAAGCGTCATTTTGCCACGTCAGTTTTGTTTCCCACGGATCCGAGCCACTTCGGACATTCGTGTTGTTTTGCAAAATCACTCGCTTATTAAATACTCGCTCCGTTGCGCTCCGCTCGTGTCTGTATTCTTAAAGTCTCAAGTGGAACGTACGATAAATCCATAGCTTTATGAGGTATCTGCCAGAACCTCATTAACATGAAGGAGACAGCATAATTTCGAGACGAATATTTACCACGTGAGTTTCTTGTCCCCCCGATCCGAGGTACTTCGGACATTTCCGGAATATTACCGCACGGGTTTGGGAGCAATCAGATATTTTCGGAAATTTTACCGCACTCCTTGAATTTTGACTTTTGTTAATTCTGATGGTCATGTCAAATGTACCCAAAAATTAACGGTCGTAGAAAAAGTATAGTATGCAACACGTACGGTAAACTTTTTAAGTCACTCGTTTATTAAACACTCGCTGCGCTGCCGTTTATCACACTTGTTGCATTTGACCTGACATGAGTTATATAATTTTTAAAGTCTCCAGTGTAACGTACGATAAATTCATAGTTTTATGAGTTATCTGCCAGAACCTCATTAACAAGGAGGAGACAGGATAATTTCGAGACGAATATTAGTCCCAAGTGACAAAAAGGGTCAGAACGGGAGGGAGTTTTATCAAAATGATGACGCTGGAGAGTTAGACAATGCTCGAAACCCCTGATTTAAAAAAAAGTACATCATCAGCATCTAACAGAAAATTGACATCAAGATTTTATCATTAATGAAAATGTTGAATAATAATGATGCCAATATTGAGCCTTGAGGAACGCCTGAGAAAGCAACGTATTCTTCGGTGGTGTTACCACAGAGATTGACGCATATGGAGTGCGGTTAGGCAAGTGTGAAGAAATCCAATCCAGAAAATTCAAAAGTACGAAACTTGTGGATTAGAATTTGGCGATCTAACCCATAAAACGATTTTGAAAAATCATGATATATGATGTCCACTTGAGAGCCCCTTCATCGATAGCTTCATAAATATACTGGCACATAGTATTTAAATTGGTATTGGTGGATTTCCCTTCAAAAAATCCATGTTGTTGAGGGACTAATTGGTTCTTAACAACATGAAATATTTTCCCATGTGGATTTTAAAACTCTACAGAAATTGCAAATATGCAAATAGCCTTATAATTTGTGATTTGGGATCTACAGACTTTTCTCAGATATAAACTGCAAAGTATTACAAGCGGTTTAGCCAAAACAAAACGATTGTCATAGGAATTAAATCTGGACCCATTGATAGGTTAGGTTTTATTATATTAACAGTTTTTTTTATATTTTCAAAATGACTGTCTAAAACACAGTGCAATAAAAAATTCGGTATCTTTAAAATATATATAGCTGGGTACAACTGAGATTTCTTTTTTGTTTTTAATAAACCACCAAAACGTTTTCACATATTTTTAACATCATATTCAATTCATCTATTGAACTGAGGAGGCTTTTACTTGATGAAAATCCATTTATCAAAATGAACAAGAACTAAAAGTTCAGATTTTCACGAAATTATATATTTTGACATGACAATTGTTTCGACAATACCGTGTCTTTATCGTGAAAATCTGAACTTTTAGTTCTTATTTATTTTGTTCAATTCATCTAATTTCAGATTTTATCTTTGACCAAAGACATTTAAAATTTATTTTTGATATTGTATATAATATTTGAATTAAACAAGGGAGGGTAATTTTTATTAGTTGACTTTCCAAAACGAGGATCGCGTGTTAATAATTCCAAACAGTATCTCATAAAATAAAAAGCAGGCAGACTCAAGATCCGATTCTTGGGAAAGAAATGACCAATCCAATTTTGAAAAGATATCCTACATTAGCAGAAAGTTAGGTTTTTTAAATTAAAATTATTATCCAGCGACTCAGTCTTTTTTTATTTGTGGAATGAGAAAATTGAAGTGACACATAAATTGCAGAACGATGACCATTTTGCTGGACTAATACATCCATTGCACGTTCTACCGTACAATTGTTGGTAATGTTATGCAGAACTGAGTTCAAAATTTTAATGTTTCTATTTCTAACTAAGTTACTCTGTGATAGGTTCATACAGTACATAAAGTTGCTGAGCAATCTAACACATTGATTGTCTGTACCAGTGTCCCAAAATACATAAATTTTTGCCATGCAAAGTCTCTAAAGACAAAGTATAATCAAAGAGGTTTTCGAAAGTGACAGGTTGCCCTCACCAGTAAAACATTCCATCGAGGGTAGCAGTTCACCTCTGTCAGTATTCATCTCAGATTATATAGATATTCAGTAGATCGTGTGTATAAGTAGCACCAAAATTGCGACGTACTCGATTAACATTACATTTACTATTAATCACTTAAACATCGAATCATGTCTCTTTTGACAAATAGGGCTCTCACGTTTCGAAAGTAACTTAAAACATTCAGAAAAGTAAGGCACAAGAAATCACGTTATAATATATCAACACTTTTCTACAATTTAACTAATCAAAAATCAAAAAAAATGGGTGCCAGGTCAGACCTAAACATTCTTAATGGTCGTTCGTTTTATTAAGAATAAGTAAATTATCATCCATATATCAATTTCAAGAAGAATCATATAGCCTTTTAGCTTTCTTAGGTAGTAGCTTCTGGAGGACTGAGTCATTATTGGTTTGAGATGCTTATGATAACATTATATTCGAATATTCACTTGACACATGCGCCCCTATACACAGTGCAACTATACAGGGTGCTAAAAAAGTGCGCTGCCAAACTATGAAAAACGATTTCTCGCGTGATTTTATGACAAAAATTTCATATAAACATAGGTCCAAAAATGCATATTTTTCAAGATACAGGTTGTTAAAATTTTCTAAAAAATTAGTTTTTCCTTTCATAACTTTCGATATTCTTATCAAATTTGGTGTACATCTTTGAATTATTGAGAGGTGGTTTTTGACACAAAAGCTTATTTTTTTTTACCAGTGGCGTCCGTACGGGGTTTGAACTGAATATTTTTAAAGAAAAAATGGCACGTCACTGCTTTTTCTGAAAACAAAAATTATTTTTAAAATCCCCATTCAATTTGGAGAAAATTTGGTGCATGTTATTTTCGTACTATGCCCCAGACTTCGATACATGCGTTTGTGTGCCTTATTAGGGACTGGCGAACCCTTTCTAAAATACCAGGGGTTTTCTTAATAACTGTATAAGAGTCTTCTATTCGATTTCTTAGATCTTCCTCACTGTCGACTGGTGTTGTGTACACTAATGTTTTTAAGTGTCCCCAGAGAAAGAAATCTATCTATCAGGTGGCCAAAAATGTGGTCCAGCACACCCAACCCAGCGATCAGTATAATTTTCATCTAAATACTGAAGTGCTACTAAACTCAACTCCGGTGGAGCTTCGTCATACATAAACCACATAGTGAGACCCGAGAAGGAAATGCCCTATAACCTCAATCCAAAAATTTACCGAAAATTGCTCTTGAAAATGAAAGTTACAGCGTGAAAATTATTATCGGCCAGGCCCACACATGATTGGATTTTGCACTAACTTATTTTGTGTAAATCTACACAAAGTCACTCTTAGCGGAAATTCCCTTGGAAAAAGGTCTTGGACTTGTTGAATATGATACATATGATACATACTAATACATGGGTAACGTTTAATTCGGTTACAATTTTTCTCGTGCAAGTTTCTGGGTTTTCTTCAATAGCATTTATGATAGCTTCCTCTATCTGGACCATTCTTACTGTTCTTGGTCTCCCTATAAGAGCAGTAGATCTCTTAAAACTACCCGTTTCACCAAGTCTGTCAGGTAGCGGTTAGGATATCTTTCTTGATACATCCGTTTGGCGGCGCGAGCATGAGCCATTGTAGATACGAAGTGCATATCTGCCATTTCACGGTTTGCGAATTGAACCATTTTCATCAAAACAAACAAATAATTTTGAAATAAACTTTCAAAAATCAGTTATAATTTGTTAAATAAGCTTTTAAAAACCACCAGCAAACAAATCAAGTGCAATTTCATTTAGACATTTGACAACTGTCAAATTGTGGTATTGTGTTATTGTTATAAACAAATGAACTACTGTCGCTTAGCGAAGCCCACTTTGCTACTTTAGGGTTTGTTTTTTCAAAGAAACTTCCACAGGCTACTGTAATACTTTTTACAAAACTTGCGGATTCCTCCTGCTTCGGTTTTTGCTTAGTCGAAATCGCTGACGTTTCGCCAATCATCCTGTTGGCTTCTTCAGAGCTTGACTGAAACTGCTTTTGTGGAAATTATTAGAGAGAAGAGCAGAGGTAAGGTTTTTTAATTTTGGGTTCAGTGACTCGGGCTGAGATAGATCATCGGTTATTAGATGATTTTTGGGCCGGATGGTGATGTCACCATGCTTAAGGTATCGGTCTGTGTGTTAGGTCTGATTTTCCATTGATAAGAATATCTAAGAATGGAAGGTTATTATTAGTTTCCAACTCAATGGTAAAACGTATGTAAGGGTGTATAGAATTTAAATGTCTAAGAAAATCTACTAGAGTTTCTTGACCATGAAGCCAAATAATAAAAGTATAATCGACGTAGCGTGTTCATAATTTTGGTTTTAGATGAAAGGTGCCGAGAGCTTTCTTCTCAAAGGCATCCATAAATATATTCGCGATAACTGGTGATGGTGGAGAACCCATAGCTGTTACCGACGTTTGTTCAAAAAATCGACCGTTATAAGAAAAATATGTTCCCGACAAGCATTTTTCCATTAAAGTGAGAAAGTTTGGTTCCAGATTCTCGGACTTTAATATATCTGAAATGATGTCGAGAGTTTCAGGAATAGGAACTTTGGTAAAGAGGGATTCTACGTTGCAACTAACTAGAATATCTTGTGTATCTTATGTAATGCTTTTAAATTGTTCAATGAAGTGAAAGGAATTAAGTACGAAACTGTCAGTTTTCCCTGTAAGGGGTTTTAATAAGGAAGCTGGATATTTTGCTAGAGAATATGTTGGAGAACCAATGGTGCTGACAATAGGTCGAAGGGGTAATCCTGGTTTGTGAATCTTTGGGGGTCCGTAGAGACAAGGACTTTTAGAGTCATGAGGGATAACAGATTTTTTCACGGAGTCTGATAGAGAAGAAGCCTTAATAACACATTTGAGGTTGCGATCCATAGATGACGTTTTTAAGTTGATGATATGATCCGTCTGTAAGAATATCTTGAATCTTTTCCTGATATTCGTTTGTGTCCATGACTACCACAGCATTTCCTTTATCTGCTTTTAGGATTACGATGTCTGGATTGGATTTTAAAAAGTAAAAAATAATACTTTAAGTTTTTTTGACTAGTAAATTGTCGATTAAATTGCAGTTTGTTTCTTAAATTTTCCTATTAATAAAAAAAAAGTACATTTAAAAATGATGATGTAGTAGCAAGTTTTAATAAATAAAAAAAAATCTAAAAAGGACCGCATGAATGCTAATTTGTATTCATAAGTGTCGTCGCAAAACAAGTACGGGAGATAAAAAAGATATGACCGTGAAAAAAGAATCACTAGATTATTACAAATTATACTTATTTCTTTTTATGGGCACAAGTCATAGAATTGCATTACACCTGCCAACTTTCAAATAGAGCGGACTTTACATAAAAATTAACATTACAAAATTGCATTTAGGTTATAATAGATGCATTTAAAAGATTTATATTTTTTTAAGCGAAAACCGTGCGTCGTACGAAAGCAAGTTTATACTCCAAATTTACTCCACATTGAATGGGGTTTTAAAAATATTTTTTGTTTTCAGAAAAAGTAGTGACGTGCCATTTTTTTCTTTAAAAATATTCGTACAGTGGCGTAAAAATTAAAAAAAAAACTTTCATGTCAAAAACCGCCTCTCAATAATTAAAAGATGTTCACCAAATTTGATAAAAATATCGAGTGCTATAAAAGTTATAAAAGGAAAAACAATTTTTTTAGAAAATTTTAACACCCTGTATCTTGAAAAATATGCATTTTTGGACCCATTTTTATGTGAATTTTTCTTCTTAAAATCACGCAAGGAATCGTTTCTTAAAGTTTGGCAGCGTACTTTTTTAACACCTTGTATATCAAGTGCCTCTTTATAATTGCTTACATAATTACTGTGCCTACCAATATTCAATTTAGTACAGTTAGATCAATCTAAAACTTGAGATTGACAGTCACTAAAGCATTTTTTTTATATTAAAAATGCGCCCTTACATTGATATAAAGATGTTTTTCTTAAATTAATTCACATAATTAAGAATCAGCATCCTATTATGAAATACCGTGTACATTTTAAATGGAATTAAAACAGGAATAGAAAATTTTAAATAACTTCTGATAATATCTGAAACCTCTATCACACAGGCCAACAATTTTGAAACTTATATTTATATAACTTATGCTTTTTTTATCAACAATAAAATAATTATTAAATGAATGTCTGGTTCGATTTAAATATTATTTTTATTATTAAAAACACAATAAAAAAATCAAAATTAAATAAATTCTCAAACAATAGTTAAGTCCATTTATTTTTGAAAAATCTCTCCCTCTAAACCGAAAAACTTCATTAAACGGATTTTGTTGTATATTCTATGGCCGGATTATCCCCTTTTAATGACCAGTAGTAATCTGAAATCATTGAAACTTTCGATTGAGCTTGATATCTACGTTCCATTTCTTTTATATCTTGGTGAAACCTATTGCCTCGCTCATCACTCACGGCATCAAGATTTTCGGGAAAGTAGTCCATATGTGAGCGTAAAAAGGGTAGTTTTATACTCATACTGCATCAAACTTCCCTAAATTTCTCTAGTATGTTCTCTATAACATCTTTTTAATTGGGATACTTGTTGTTTCCTAGAAACATCAGTAAATGCATGCAACCTTTTTATATCCCATTAATCGCCATATTTGAGGACCTACAAAGATACCTATCTTCCTTTAATTTTGCATATGAGAGAGCAAGAAACTTTCCACATAGGTATTAAAAACATGCTCCATCTTTATTTAAAGCTTTAATGTACTACTTCATCAGTCCTAATTTAATATGCAATGGTGGTAAGAAAATTTTTTGTGGATCATTAAGACTAGCGTGAAGCATATATTTTTTGATCCTGGAATTAAATTAACCCTTTTGGGCCTGTTCTTTTTCACCAAATGTTGGTGTCTCTTTCTACTGTTCCACTCACACAAAAAACAGAGGTGTACGAAGATCCTGACCGCTGGCCTGGTAGAAGTCCCACAATTTTTAAGTCACTACAAATTACCGAACTATAGTCCTTGTAATTGATTTTTTTAAGCAGCAATTCCAAATTTTCGTAACACTGTTTCATTTACACAGTATGAGCAACAGGTACAGAAGCAGGAATATTTCCGTTATGCAAAATAAGAGCTTTGAAACTTCCCTTGGATGAGTAAATAAAAAGCCTCCAATCCTCAGAATTGTAGGCTATACCAAGTTTGTTTATTAGATATAGATTTTTTTTTTCAAGGAAACTTCCACAGGCTACTATAATACTGAAGAAGCCAACAGGCTGATTGGCGAAACGTCAGCAAGTTCGACTCAGCAAAAACCGACGCAGGAAGAATCCAGAAGTTTTGTAAAAAGTAGATTAGGAATGTCGGTGCAATAACCAAGTGAACCACTTTATTCAAAATAGGGTATACGTTCTGTCTTGCGCTTCCTGAAATATGGTATTTTAACGTCATGTGCCAGTAAATTTCTATTTCGAATTCTAGATGCTATAATTTCGGATAGATTCTTAGGCACACCTAAGCCCCCGTTAAGTCAAGTTCTGATTGTGAAAATAACTGTGGTTGCTGAGAGCGATTTCAATTTTTACATGTTCCCATTTTTAACACAATAAATATGACATCTCAAAAATTAATTCAAAAATGTTGCATGATAGAAACGAAAAAACATAGTAAAATACCTAATTACACACCGATCTAGGGTGCGGGAAGCGTCGCTTTACCACGTCAGTTTCGTTTCCCACGAATCCGAGCCACTTCGGACATTTCCGGGATTTTACCGCACGGGGTTGGGAGCAATCGGATGTTTTCGGAGATATTTCCCACGCTTTGAATTTTGACGTCTGTCAATTCTGCCGGTCATGTCAGTGAATGTATTCGTGTTGTTTTGCAAAAATATGGCCAAAAACTAACGGTCGTAGAAAAAGTATAGTATGCAACACGTTCGGTAAACTTTTAAGGTCACTCGTTTATTATACACTAATATACTATTAACTACAAAAATATGAACAATAATAAATCACAAAATGTTTGTGGGCCCGTGTAATTATCATTATGGTTTTAGAAAATCCCCAAATTAAAAATAAGTCTTAAAGCTTGCAGACAGAAATAGAAAATATATTTTTTCTTGTTTCGGCTGGACTTGAAAACGTTGTATTTTTAAAATTCGTAGAAAAAACTCTGTACAAAATTCTATACTAATGGTGAATTCTCTAAAAGCGTAAGCATGAACTGAATTTTAAGTAAAAGTGTTTTACCGTCATGTTTACCTCTTCTTCTCTTCTGGAACTTGGTGTACCAATAGACAGACACCCGAAGCAGTTTTTCCTCCTCGACGGAGTCAGAGTTGTCGCAGTCGTCTTTCTTGGGCCCGATTTTGCTGGTACCGTTCTGAGGTAACCTGTACAGTCTCAGCGTGGCGGTGGCGATGTTGCTGTTTCCGTTTCCCGATAGATAATCAACGTCGAAGTAGAGGTTCATTATGTCGTCGTCCTTCCACAGTTCCTGGTCCGTATTTGATGGTGCCTCGCCTGTTTTTCGAGAGAAAAAGATAGCATGGACTTAGCATAAGAAGGCGAAGTAAATTTCTAACCAAAAACTACACAAAATGTAGATAACAGATATACACACGCGTTGCGGTTTGCAAAAATAATTTATTCAGATTTCAGCATCTTAGCGCCATCTCTATATGAGAAACATAAGTACGTATAAGTCGGTCTTGCCTGAGATGGACCGTAACGAATATTTGTACAAAACTGAAATTTTTATTTGAAACGTAAATGGACCGTTTTATATTTGATTAAGCATTGATGCTGAGGGGTATTTTTGAATAAGTAGAAGCGTTTATTTTAACATCAGGTGATGTGTATCGTTCTTATATATGTTCGTATATATTCCAGAGGTATTTGAATGTGGTTCTTCCAGTAAGTACGTATTTATGTACCTGATTCTCGAGCTTTGACCCTGGGAGGCTGTTTTCACAGGATAGTTCAAAGGGTAAGGATAAGTACCTGCACTCTAACTTACGGGTAAATTTGAAAATAATCATTTTCGTCTTGTGTGCCTGTCGATTAACAACGTTCTTCTTCTTGTATTTTTGTGTCTTCTACATAATTGTTCGATGTGTTTTAACCCTAGAAGAAATTCATAAAAAAGTGCGCCAAAGAGTCGTTGCGTACTTTTTTGAAGAAAATTGATTTTCAATTCCAAACAATTAATAAACGTCAAGTACCAATGGAATCTCAAAGAATTTCGCAAGAGAGGGTGGAAAAATTTCGAGGGCAAAATAAGTCATTAGTGTATTTAGACGAAATGTGGTTCGACGCTCACGTCACAGTAAAAAAAAAAGATGGTGTCATAACAGTAACAAGTATGTACTAGACGTGCCGCCTTCACATGGAAAACGCATAATAATTCTTCATGCTGGGTTCAGAAATGGTTGAGTGCAAGATATTTTTGTCTGCCAAAAACGTCAAAGATTCAAGATTGAAAAGATACTTATATCCCGCTTGTTGGTGGAGGTAGATAAATTCATAGGACGGTCCTGGAATGGTTACGGGTAAGGGTCTGCTTGGCAGGGGCTGTGGTTTTGAAGTAATAAACAGTAGGCAAAGTTAATCACTGGGTCGGTTGTAAAAGCACTATAATTCTGGTCCAAGTATAGCTTAAACTGCGTCACTCGAGATTGCATTATCATCGATCTATATTTCGTCAGGCATACGTTTTTTACTGTTTTACGTATAACAAAGGTTAAGTTGATCAAAAAGAATATAGATTATATTTTATTTTGCAATATATAATTTGGTACAAATTGCATTGAGGCAATAAAACCATACCTTCACACGATCACGCTTATACCTTGTAAATTTCTAAGGGGCGGTTTGATTTTTTCTGTATTTTGCGTTTTACTGTTAACTAAAAGCTGGTTAATGATTTCTTTTTCGTTTTTTTCCCATTTTTTGCCTTTTTTAACGGACCGGAAGTCAAAGTACGATCGGTCCTTCTCGACGGTTCTTCGGAAATTTTCTGAATTTTCTATTTCTAACCTAGTTTTAGCGAAATAATACCTATTTAGATTACGCTGGGTTCATTTCGGCTTTCTTTTACTGTTACTTGTTAATTTTTTTGAAAAATGGCAGAAAGCCTAGGCAGACGTTTAGTTGCGTTGACCAAAGCATCACAAAACCTGGTTATTAGTAAGTACAAATCCATTTAGTTGTGTAATATCGCTTTAAACTTTTATTACTGTCTAGTTGGAGATCGTATCTACAAAGTACAGCCTCTGCTTGCTAGATTAATACGGAAATTTTCAATAAATTTTAATTTAGTTTCTTTTAGAGGGCGTTTAGCCTTCAAACAGTATATTCCACTGAACTCTCATAAATATGGTGTTATTATGTTCAAATTGTGTAGTGCTGAAGGGTACACAAAATTTTCTGTAGGCACGCTGTCTAAAAAACTGTTAAGACTGTGGAAGAACAGTGGCAACTGCGAACTACTATAAAAGTTATTGGATCGCAAAACGCATCTTTTAGGAACACTTCTAATAAATACAAATTTGAAACCAAAGGAAGTTACAGAGAAAAAAGTTAAGAAGGGAGATAGTTTGTAAATAAAATGCTAGGGGCATCTGCATCATGAAGTGGAAAGACGAAAGGGATGTTTTGCTTTTGTCTATCAAACACGTAGACACAATGACTCAGTTGCAAACCATAATAGACTATAATAAATGACCAGCTATAACTCAGCACTACGCAAGTCCATCAAATGGTGCACGAAAATAGCAACAGAGCTTATTTTCAGTATACAATCATGGTTAAGGCACACTATCTGTATAAAAAGCTGAATGGGTCGAACATTTCTATCGCCGATTTCTGAGAACAAGTATATCAAGAAATCATCAGTGCCAGATGAAGCGAAGGGGAAGAAGAGAGAGAAAGATCAGATACAATTACACAGAAGAAAAAAGGAGTAGTGAACACGCCTGAGTAGAGGGGTTTACTCATAGGGACCGCCCTGCTTGTTAACGTGTTGAAGGCAACAAGGGAGTTTTATTGAACTTCTACTGAATGGAAATTTTACACGTACAGCGGTAAAGAAACTAGATCGCCCTTCGAAACTTAGTGCATATCCCAGCAACGGGAAAGTGATCCTTGTACCAAGTTGATTTAGCGCAAAATGCATCATATGAGGATCTTACGAGATTATTTGAATTTTCGCTAAAACGTATTTCTTAATTAATCTAAGTCGACTTATTTCGTTTTTGGAAAATACAGCTCAAATGAAGGTATAAACATTAAAATTGGGATATTCCTCTTCTTCATGTGCCTATTCGTTACAAATATTGGTGACTACTATAACGATTTTGTTCACGGCTGCTCTGTTGTTTTTGAGAACCACGTTCTTGAGTTTTTGAGCCATGATATTCTTCTTTTTCATCTTCTTCTTATATTTACTCTGACTTTTCCTTGGAGAACAAATTTTAAAAGGTGGTATTTACTTTCGTTCCTCATAAATTGTCCAAGATTTTCTAATTTTACCCTCTTGATGGTGTTCATTATTTTTATATTCCTATGCCTTCGTTTCAGTACTTCACTAATATTCTTCTGCAAAGCCACACTTTGAAGGCCTCCAGTCTTTTTTCGTTTAGCTCTGATTTTGATGTCTATGTTGAGAATGTGATTTTTGAACAATTTAGCCTTTTGATTGAAGGCTACAGTTGCTTTCTCTATTCTAATCCTAATTTTCCGTGTGTGATTTCAATCCACATTAATAATGGTACCCAAGTAGGTGAATTGTGAAACCCTTTCTCTATATTTATGTTGTTAATCATAAGGTCGTACCTCGCACCTACTAATTGCCTTTTTTCACTAAAGTTGATCTCGAAGCCATATTGGCGGCTGATGTCTGTTAATTTATGGACTACTTCTTGTAAGCTGTTCATGCTATCGGTAAATATCACTATATAGTCTGCGCATCTTATGTTGTTCAATCGTTCCCCATTTAGAAGGATTCCTATGTCGGTATTCTCAAGAGCTTTACTAAAGGTTTCTTCCGAGTACAAACTGAAAATGAGTGACGAATGGATGCATCCCTGCCTAACTCCACGAAGAATGTTGATTGTATCGGTTTGCTCCCAGTGTTTGTCAAAACATCAATCATCTTTGCGCTTTATTTTGTCGAAGGCTTTTTGATAGTAGATAAAAAAAGCGAAAATATCACATATCATATCCCTGCAACGTTGGAACAATACTTTCATAAAAAATAGCGCATTAATTGTGCCCACACCGTTCATAAATCCGAACTGGGTGTTAGTTACTCTTTTCTCGCATATTTTTTAAATTATCCGATATATGATTTCAAGGAAAACCTTTAGCATGTGACTCATAACACTGATAGTTCGATAGTCACCACACGTTTTGGCTCCCCGTTTCTTTGGTGTTGGTGTGTTTTGGGATGTTCCCATCAATAATCAACATGACTAGCAGATATAAACGACGTTTCATACACACTATCATGTCGCAACTTGTCGCAACGGGCTTAGGCAAATCAATAAAATACTCTTTCCCCATATACATTTTGTATCGAAAACTCAAAAAAATGCTACTAACAGATTATCTCGTGCTTAGTCAATTTTGCTGACGTAATCTACGACTCACGCAGGGATAAGGTTGACTCAGACAGAATTCAGTATGTCCAAAAATCTTGTTTAAGATTTTTCTATGGTGTTCGTCGTCGTCAACTTGTATACCACTTTCAATTAGGCGCTACCAAATGGCTTTCTATGAAAAATGGAAAAAAGTTATACTCTGCTACACGGTTCAATAAAATAATACGTCCCTCAAATTTATCACGAAAAATAAAATATCGTTGAATCTCGGGTATCGTGGATACATTTGTCCGTCTATTTATAATTCAGACGTTTTTCTTACAACACTATCCCGGAGCAACATAAAATATTATGTCCTGATCAATTGAAAAGTGAAGTTCCACTTAAGTTATATATATCTGTTATTGTTCCACAGTCAGGTATGCTCTTAATCACCACGCATATATTTATATATATTTTTTCTTTGTTATCTCTTATCTAGCATCTTTTTAACATTGAGTTTCATCCTCTTTTTGTGAATATTTAAGTCGCAGTTTGTGTTCAGGGTGAGCCTATAATGACAGAGTAAAGTTCATTGTTATTGAGCATCCTGTAATATGAATGATCTACTTTAAAAACTATTTTCTTTTCAGAAAAAATAAAATATTGGAAATATTATTATTAATAAAAAAGTTGACGAATTTAAAAATAGGGTTTTCCATTTTAAAAAATGTATGTTCTATTTGTTACGCTTTTTTGAACAACTCTGTATACTATAAAATTATTTTGTGCATCCTAACAATCTTTACAACTTGCATTTACCATTTTCTCATATGTTTTCAAAACCATTGAGTTAAGGAACTTGACTCTATCATTGACTCAGTCTGTACATTCTCTTAGCAAATTTACATTTACATACATTGACTGTTATTATCTATATCGCTTATCTGTGGTCCACTGTAAGTTTCAACTTATCGTCGTTCTGTGTCCGTATACGCCATTGTTCTTTTTCTCTAATTAAACCTTGACCGCGGTATAGAGAATTGGATATATGTCAGTAAACGAGTAGGCTTTATTTAAAGAAAAAACGTTTCTGTCGTTTCTTGGATGAAATATTGATTGCGATAGCGCATGGAAGAATTAAACAATTTTTAAAATATTTTCATTCGCTACTTGAATCGATATTTCAAGAGAAAAAAAGTCAAAAATAACCAAACCAAAATTCAGTCTATGCTCTGTTTCTTAATGCGATCGATCTGTGCTTAGTGGTGGTATTGGTGGAATGAAGGCAAAAAAAAACCAAATATATATATATATATATATATATATATATATATATATATATATATATATATATATATATATATATATATATATATATATATATATATATATATATATATATATATATATATATATATATATATATATATTTAGACGAGACTCGGTTCGACACCCATGACACTATAATCGAACTGCATTTTGAATGTACTAGCATCTAGAGGATGTCTGTCGCTCGCCGAACGCTTTGCTACTTTCAGAAAAAAACTTTAGAATGCTCATGTGTTCGAATATGACTGGAGATAGTCAAAAATATTCCACTGACGCAGTAGGATAAACGCAACCCCATGAGGTCAACAAAGAGAAGTACAGAACAAAAAAACCTGTAATAAATGAGAAAAGACTGCCATCAGAAGAATAACACACTCGTTTTCCTTAAAAAAATAAAAACCTACTTTATCTGAAAGTTAAACTGCAAGGACTATAGTTTATCTGACTATTCGGAACATAAGGACTAAAATTTAAAAATGAAGTGGTATTGCAAATATGAGATTTTGTTTTAACTAACCAAAATTGAAGAGGGAACAACCCTAAAAACCAAAAAATAAATTAGAACTGAAAGTGCATATGCCGAAAAATGACCTTAATTAATGTTGTTGTGAGAATTTAAGTTTAATAATGTACACAGTCATACATAACAGCTCAAATCACCCTTATACACACAAAATGGCTGCATTTGACTCTTTTATATACAGACTTCTTAATACGCCACTCTCGACAGAAAATTACAACAAGGAACTTAATATCATTAAACAAATTGAATTGAACAACGGCTACAATCCGTCCATTATCGATAAAATTATAAATAAAAAACAAATCCAGACAACAGTAAACTCTATTTATGCAAAACCTATTATTTATTATAATTCGTGTTCTGTATTAGGTTTAAAACAATTACATACATAGGAGAACCCAGTGAAAAAGTTTCAAAACGTTTGTCAAAATGTGGTTTAAAAATAGCTTCCAGAACTAACAACACAATAGGAAAATCAGGCATCTACAGGTTGAAATGCGAATCTTGTACTAAAATTTATATTGGACAAACAGGTGGATCCTTCAAGAAACGCATTAACGAAAATAAAGATGCATTTAAAAACAATAGTCTAGATTCTAATGATACTGAACACTTAAACACAGGAAAACACATTTTTGACGACAACTTAGTGAAAATCTAAACTTTTAGTTCTTATTTATTTTTTTAAATGGATTTTCATCAAGTAAAACCCAATTCAGTTCAATTACTAAAAACCATTTTTACTTTTGATAAATAAAATTAACGAAAATGCAAATAACATAAACATTTTCTTTGTTTGTTTGAAGCATTTCTTTTCCGTAAAAAAAGTGGTAATTTAAAATTAGTGTTGTGTGTTGATCATTATGTTTAGACGAGTTAAATGATCGACTTTGTATAAATTTCACGTTAATAATATATTGAGATGGGGTAAGACAGTTAGGGTCACAGCAGAAGCTGTCATCAGTTCAAAAACTGCCAATTGACCGCTTATGGGAAACGATATCATGATATGCTAGATATCCTGACAAGATGCAGGGGCGCCGCAAGCGTTACACAACCAATTCATGACAGAATAAATAAGAACTAAAAGTTCAGATTTTCACGAAATTATATATATTTACATGACAATTGTTTCGACAACACCGTGTCTTTATCAAATGTAATATTTACAAACTACCTGCTAGTATACATACCGACAAATGACAATAAAATCGTAAATTAATGTTGTTATGAGAATTTAAGTTTAATAATGGAGAGGTATTTAATCCTAATTGATCGTTAAGCAATACATTTGAATGTCTCATTTTGTTAATCTCCATGGCTTTCAATAAATTAAATTTTCTACTTTTTGTGGCGGTATGTAAAATGTCAAAGTTGTCGTCAAAAATGTGTTTTTCTGTTGTGTTTAAGTATAATTAGAATCTAGACTATTGTTTTTAAATGCATCTTTATTTTCGTTAATGCGTTTATTGAAGGATCCACCTGTCTGTCCAATATAAATTTCTTTTTCAAATTTTATCATTTCATAAAGACACGGTGTTGTCGAAACAATTGTCATGTAAAAATATATAATTTCGTGAAAATCTGAACTTTCAGTTCTTATTTATTTTGATAAATGGAATTTCATCAAGTAAAAGCCACCTCAGTACAATTCATGGCAGATTAATTCAAATGCAAGCTTAAACAAACACATGCATCCGACCAAATAAGGCTCGAACTCCAAAATGCCCTTCAGGTCTTTGTAAGTGACCAGACCATGCGAACTATGAACTTTATGCAAAGAGACTGAAGATTTGGATTAAGGCCAAGAAGAAGAAGAAGATCTTATAGAACACCTGGTAATGTGAATCATTTAGAAACTATCTAAGAAGTCGAAAGGACATGGTGAGCTCGTTTCTGTTGAAGGAATTTAAACAGCGAACCAGTATCGCGAAAACATTTTGGAACCTATAGTTCTTCCATATGCACCACAACCGAGCAATAATTTCATTCTAATTTTTTTTAGAAGAAAACCGTATAGATGTTTTACCATAGCCTGCGCAATTGCCGAGCCTAAATCCCATTGACCACCCATGGGATATGCTTTACCGTTTCCATTAATCATTAAAACTAAAACTATCATTGTAATTTATCTGAACTTTATGATATAACCTTTAAGTTAAGTTAAGTTAAGTCCATCTTGTTTAATGATCTTTGTCATTGCAAATTTACATTTTATGACTCTCTCGCATTAATAAACTAAGTATAGGAGTATACTCCGTAATTCCTTTTATACTTATCATTCTTCGGAATTTGTTGGAATCCGAATTCATGGAATTTCCAAAATTCCGAAATTCCTTAAAATTCAGTGGAATTCCATTGCAATTTTTCGGAATAAGACTGTAGTTGCGCGGAATTCAGTGGAATTCCACTGGGATTCTTCGGAATTCGGTGGAATTCCGTGAAATTTAGTGGAATTTCATTGAATTTTTTTTGGAATATGACGGTAGTTGTTCGGAATCCAGTGGAATCCCACTGGAATTCTTTTATACATTCCTCTGCTATGTATCCCTTGAATCGCGATTGCGGTAATACTTACACGACGGGTAAAAGCTTCGTATCTTCTCGGTTATCTGGTCGTCGTCCAATAGAGTGGTATTTAAAATTTTGGGTATTATCTGGCTGATATTCAGATTGGTCAATGTCGCTTCTTCTACGGGCCTAGACGTGGACGAATTATTCCCGCGTCCCATGTGTCGTAGGATTTGATCTTTGAGGTAACCCTTCCAAATTTCTTTACGCGTCCTGCAAAGAAAAACAACGGTTTTTCGGAGGCAATCGGCTCAAAAAAAAAAACACCTGTCCGCAAATGCATAGAAAATTTCATTTAATAATGCCGGTCGGCGAAGTGATAGTTTAACTGTAAAGTTATGGCCATTGGCAGCTGTAGTAGTCGTCCAGGTCCGCATTTTGCATTTGAAACTATATCAACCATAATATAAAGTTCGAACCCTTTGAAAATCTCTCCAACGGAGAAAGAAACATTTTTTCAAGTTTTTTTCAAGCCCCTAAACTTTTTGGTGACAGAAATGGAGGGAAAGAAAATTCATTAAATTCAAATTTCAATTTTATGTGGGGTCAATATAATCAAGGAATTTAATCTTATTATCTAGTAAATTTTCTTCATTTCCAAGAATTATTTTTATAATTTTAAATGCCAGGAATGCCACCGCATCTTTTTCTTTCACTCGCCGTCTCCTCGTGTTCTATAACTATCTTGGATAGTTTCAAATATTAACAAGAAATGTTCAATAGAATCAACCCATAACAATATATTCAATTAGTTGGTGATTTAACCTGTTTTATAACTGTTCTAAATCAGTTCGACATTGTTTAGATTTTAACGTGATAGAAACATGCTAACGGGCTGAGGCAATGTTAGCAGTGCTGAGCATCGCTGCAGTTTTCAAAGAATTAATACATACACTCTAAGATTCTTAGTAATAAAGTAGTAATACAATAGCAATATGCTAGTAGGAAATGTACTTTTGTCATGTGACAACGCTTATGCCATTGTAGGGGAGTTTTTTAACGTTCATTTTTCGTGCGTGTTGTACTACCTCCAAGTTTGCTTCGTTTTTATGAAACTAGTGGATTTTTAAACTTTCAAAACTGTTTCAAGACAATAATAAGATTATAAAGACTGATGATAAAAATGCCGCAAAGGTGTAAAGTTTTTAATAAACTTGTAAACATGTAAATAAATCCACGCGCGTATAGACGGGTGTCTTTATTTTGATGGATTTCTAAAAATCGCTGACGTCAGGTATGGTGTGCTTTACTAGGATATGCAAAAAACAAAGTCACCATTTCAATAGCTGGGATTCGTAACGATCACTTTTTAAAACGTAATATTTTTCCAAAAATATTTAATGCTGCACAAACAGCAATTACCTCATCTTAATTTGATTATGGGATGTTGATTATTTTTTGTCTTTAAAGTTCTTCATTACAGTCTTCCCGCAGAAAACGCAACATACATTACAGAATTTAGAAATATTTTCTTGGACCGATTCTTAAAATAACTTATTAAAAATGTAGTTTCATTCAGCTTTTAGTTAGTTTTTCCAAAATATCAATTTTGTAATACATTAGCCTGAACGGTTTGGCGAAGTCCCAAGCATTTTTCAAAAATATTTGTGTAATTAGCTCAAAAAGAAAAAGGAATTGTTTGTAAGGACATTTCATATGAAATTAAAGTTATTATAGGCGTGATTCTTGATCTCGCGCATCTTGTGTTTTCATAGAGAAGTTCTGGAATACTCTTGATAGATTTCACTTGACCTGATACCTTTCCAATTTCATTCACATTGGTTAAAATCACGATGTCGAAGTTCTTGGTGTAGTTCCATATGGAAGGAGTGATATTTGTGTTTTCTAGTGGAGCGATTAATGGTAGATTGGGATGTATCACATAAGCTACCTAACGGATTATCTTGTTGAACTAGAAGTGAACTTTCCAATTCTTTTTCCTCATTGGTAGCATTCCGGTTAACCACTTTCCGTTTTTTATATTCAATACTACTAATAATATCAAGCCATTCCATTAAACACTGAAGAGATTGTGTAGTTGTATATGTCTATTAGGGAACTTCGTCTTGTAAAGTCTCACTACCAACAAAGTATTTTTTAGGAAAATCCACACTTACATACTTTTTTAGAAGTTCAAATATTACAAAAGTTAAAATAAATCGCAAAGTATTAAAAATGGGTATACGACACCTTCGAATAACGGTAATATCAAATATATCAAAAATAATGGCGCTATTGTAATTATTTTACAAGTGTTAGAACACATAACACACGCCCAATTGACGTAAAAAAAGGATGTCTTATTAAGATCACAAAAATGACCTCAGAATGTCGCCATTAATTCCAGATATGGACTTAAAACTTAATAATTAATTTAAACTATTATCAAGTTCTTCTATTTAAAACCATGACGTAGGAGACTATATCTAGAGGGTGTTCAAATACGGTGTTAAAGTAATATATCTCATTTATTATCATTTTTTAGATGGGATTAAAAGAACTAATCTATAATGAATTTCAAATATATAAGACTATAAATAAATCTAAAATCTAAATAAAACTTACATTTTTTAAATGGAACACCCTGTATATTATGGCATTACTTACATCTTATGATCTATATCGAGTGTGTGTTAGTTCGACTCGTTTATACAGGGTGAGTCAAAATGAAAAATAATAATTTTAATTTTAATTTAATTTATATTATACTTCCATTTTTTTTAAGGAAAGGATCTTCTCTATTCATTAACTACAATTCTCCATTTTCTGCAACCGCAAAAAAAGTTCTGTGTAATTTAATTTACTTTATTCACTTTACTTGCTTTAATTTACTTTCGATTTTTCTCACTTCAAAAAGAAAAAAAAAACAATTTCAAAATCTATATATTTTTCAGCAGTAATGACCAAAATCTGACTTTAAAAAAATATCACTTAAATGACAAAAATTGACGATTCAAGTTGACGTAAAAAAGCGCCACTTAAATGAGAAAAATTGACCACACTAATTGGCGTAAAAAATGACATCGTTAATATGACACATTTTCGTAGATCAAATTCACTTCCTGCGGACATCATATATAATGTCATTTTCGTCATTTTTTGAGTAGTTTGCACCTTCAATTTTTGACAACTTACAAACTCCTTAAGAAACAAGTTGTCATTAATGTTTTTTAAGAAAGACTACATAGTTATAATTCTGCCGCTACAGTCGACACTAGCAATTAACTATTTAACACAAACACCAACATACTTATAGATTTTTTTGATATTTGGAGGGAAGAGGAAAAAAATCGAAAATTGCTAACAGAAACACCACGAAGTAACACGAACAGTGTAGCATATGCCCCGTACGTTAATTGGAACCGAAGATTGATACTACGCATGCGGACCCCGAAGATTTTCCGCGAAAACCCGAATGAGAACGCATGAGCCAACCCGAACATATCCGAAGATTCAAATTTTCCCGCGCCAACCCGAATACACCCGACATACCCAAAGATTCAAAATTTTCACGCGCCAACCCGAACACAACCGAATATTCACGAAAATTCAATTTTTTCCCGCCGAAAGCGGCTTAGAACAGGCACTACTATACTACTAATGACGTCATTTTAACGACTCCCTGCCACCTGGGCAGTACATTTTTAGAAAAATGAAAATATTGGAAAAACTATTAGGTTAAGGTTTTAAAAGGAATTCGAAACAACCTTTAAAAATAGGGTGTTTAATTTAAAGAAATATATGTTTTATTCTTACTTATACTTTAAAATAATTTTTAATTGTGAATCCTAACAATCTTTACAACTTTTGTATTTACCATTTTATCATATTTTTTGAGGCCAATGAGGTAATGAATTTTAATCTACTGTTGACTCACCCCGTACAACAGCAGAGTGAGCTATAACTATTCTTTTAATAGATTGAAATGGAATGAAATGGAATATATTGTTTCTGGATATCCGTAAGATATTTTCAATATTCTTTATGATTATTTATAGTATATCTAGCTAACATTTAGATAATCTAAACAGTTTTCCGCTCATCAATCTAAACATGCTAATAAGTCATCAATCGGTTCAGTTCAGCCGTCAAAACTGCCTAAATAATAAGTTAATTTCGCGCAAAACGTCGGTCCGGCCCTGGCGAAATCGCAGCAAAAAGGAACCTGCCTAGACAATTTACAATTTGTTTAATCCATTTTTATAATTCATCGTAGACCGGCAAGCATGCGGTCTCGCAGACTGGTTCTCATGCCGTAAACGGCAGGCCAGACTTGGACTGTGCGCACCTTTACAGCTTGCTGCCCGCTCGTTACTTTCTTATTCTAATAATTCTAATGTCTAGGTCTAGTGCACTTGCCTTCTTAACTGCGCCAAGCGTCCATACACGCCCGGATTTATCTTAGGATCCGTTCCCTACATTCACGTGATAACATAATAAATGTTTACGCTTGATTACGAATCGAAGGACCATTGGACTATTTTCAGATAAACGCCGTTGCTGGTTCTCGATATTAATTGCTCGGAAGATACTTAGGATGACAAAAAACAAATTCTACGAACTCCCTCAAGGCTAACTGTTGAGCTTAGAACCACGGTTAGGTCGGCTAAATTAACTATTTGAAGTTAGATGGCGCTACTAAAATGTATAGAAATCTCTTTCGCACTTTAACAACAATGTTTCTTTTTATAACTGTGTAGGGGAAAGACACGTAGAGTCTATCTCAGAAAAGCCCAGGGACGTCATTATTCGATGCGCGAAATAAGCGTCTTATTTCCTCAAGTTATTGGGTTCTCTATGGTGTAGGTGAAATAGTGCCGGCATTTATTTCAATTGCGTGTATTTTATTGTTCAATTCCATATTTTTAATACCCATAATATGTATTATTCTAGTACATTGTGTTAAGTTTGAGTTCGTTATAACTGAAAATTTTGGGTAAAGGTGTATAGATAATAATTTACATATTATTCTTTTCGATTTGTTAATGATGCGAAGATTACTGGAAATTGAATGAATGAAATATAAGCACCCACAAAACAGCCACCAAACGTAAACAACCGGAACGATTTGATCCACGCTAATGGCGGCCGCATTTTCGTACGACAGCTGATTGCCGTTTCAAATTCGTCTTCTGGGCATCTGACATCACTGGGCTCTTCTCTATTGAGACGGACTCTTGCAAACAAGCCGGTCCCGGTGCCTTTTTGTTCAA